AGAGTATTTTAAATGAGTAGTCTTGTAATTGTAATTATAGTGTACCTTTTTACTTATATACTCTTGTACCACTATGTAATGAAAGGATTGTATGACAGTATGAGCGTTGAGCAATGAATTTGACATTGGTTTGTTGTTAATTCTTAATTCAATTATTTAGTGCTTGTTCCTACTCTTTGATTGCTAGATGGAATATGAGATAGTCACAATATGATTTGGAAGACAGGCATGCATACAGATTCGTAGTAAAGGTTATTGTTACCTGCTAAATGTCCTAATGATAAACATGAAGTCTTGGACAACCATGAACAAGCTGGTTTTTGTTGTGCTTATCTAGGCAAGGATGTTGATTGGGATCCTTGATTAGTTTGTTTGCATGTTAGCATAATGCATCACTGAACTTGTCAAGATGTTGCTGTCGTTGTCTTTCTCAAGCTTGATTTTTCTTAGTTGGTTTCTATGGGTGTTCTCCTTTTATTTATTATTGTGCCTTGGACATACTGACCTTTTTCTCTTGGTTATTATTTTTTCAGGGTGAAGTAGACTTCAATTCCAAAAGAATAATATTGTTTAGGACATGGATCAAGTCTGCCTTTTCTCAGATAACTTTGGGTATCAAGCTTTCTCATTTCAGGAAGTCCTCGATTGGCGGTTCCTCATCTGTGGAGATTTCCTTGTTGTTTCCTTTGTCAATTGCACATAGTGAACATCTGCTCTTGAGTGATCAGTACAGGAGACCATATGCCATTTCCACATAAGCTAAGTGTTGGATGTTTAGTGCAGTTCAACTAGTAAGCAGCACACCTTATGATGTCAATTGTGACTGTACTGTTAACTACCTCATGCAAGTTTTTTATTTCTAGCGCATCACCGATAAGACACCCTTTCAGGACCCTTTGGAAACCATCCTCTGAGGTATTGCTGTGGGTTGTACTTCACCTTGTTATAGTGATTATATAATTTAGCAGTCTTACATTATCTCCTCTGTTTCTATTCATTCAGGGCTAAATTCAGAAGACATATGTATGACGTTTTTTATGCATTGTTGAGAATTAGTTAGCTCTTTACACACTTGCTTCGGATTTGGTAGTTTCTAGAGACCTCTTCTTCACAATTCGTTTGACTGAAGACTTGGTATCAGACAGAAGTGTTATTTGGAGGCAAGGGGCTAATGTGTTTTTGAGAAGAAAGGTTCTGTGACTTGGACATATAATTTGATATGTTGAATTGAGCTATTTGAATCTCAGTTAGCTTTGAAGTGGTATCATGATGCACTGCAGCACTTGCCTTTGCTTGCTTTCTCTCCCCTGTTACAGTTTTGGTCTTTCTTCTGCCATATATCTTACAAATAAGGCTGTGAAGCCCATCCGTCCTATCATTGCTGATTCTGCCCTCATCAGTTTTGCAGAAGGAAATTAAGGGGGATTTTGCTGAATCAGCCAGGCCATAGTTCCTTTTAGTATTTTTTTTTCTTTTACAGTCATTCCGAGACAGAAATCCATTTTGTTTATGTGTGTGTTGTCCCTATACTCCATTTAATAAGAGTCCTACGTGCTATTGAAGCTGCTGAAATGGAAAGGTTCTGGTCTCATTTCGCTCATTATTTTTTGTTTTTATTGTCCCGGCTCCTGTATGCTTATCTAATTTTTCTTAATGGTGCAGGTACCAGATAATTAAAGAAGTTGGTAATGGTACATTTGGAAATGTTTGGCGTGCACTTAATAAGCAGACTGGTGAAGTGGTAGGTGCATATGTGTTAGGAACAACTTAGAACCTACTGATATTGCTGAATTTTCGAAGTCCTCTAATAATATTCATTTGTCTAACACAGGTTGCGATTAAAAAGATGAAGAGGAATTATTATTCGTGGGAAGAATGCATAAACTTGAGAGAGGTCAAGGTTAGATGATTTCCTTCCCTTTGGCCATATTTGTTTTTTTCTCTGCTGAGAATCCATTAACCGTGAATCTTTTTCAGTCTCTGAGAAAAATGAACCATTCAAATATCGTGAAGCTCAAGGAAGTGGTCAGGGAGAACGACATTTTGTACTTCGTGTTTGAATACATGGTATTTCATGATTTACATCTGTAATGTATATTTGCGACCAGTCAGTTGACTGAATGTCTAAGTTTGAACGATCTTTTGCAGGAGTGCAATCTATACCAACTTATGAAGGACAGAGCAAAGCTTTTCTCAGAATCCGAAGTGAGAAATTGGTGCTTCCAAGTATTTCAAGGTCTTGCTTACATGCATCGACAAGGATATTTTCATCGTGACCTTAAGCCAGGTATTTTGACCTTTCCTCATTTTTTGTTTGTAAATGCGGTGGATGATGATGGAGAGTTGGACTTAACATGACTATCTTATTGTACGATATGTACTATACTATTTACTGGGGGAATCCTTAGTCTTGAAGACTAATATATTTATGGTTACCAGCATCCCTGCTCCCTTCCCTCCAACAGCTTAAGCTCAAAATCTTTATTTAGTCTGGCTCTTACTTGCAGCTGTCATTTTAGTTTTCTTTGTTTACTGCTTTTTGAGTTAGGTTCACTGAGATAAATATGCATTCAGGATTTACGAGGCATACTACAGTCTACAAGACACCAAGAAAATCTAGAAGAGCTTATATATTTTATTTGTGTTTGTTGTGTAAATATGCATTTTGTCTTGACGATCTGCATGTTATAGCAGTTGAATTTGTCGCTTATGTTCATGACATCATAGTTCATTCCTTCGTGATCTGACCCATTTTAACATGTGATATGATGGTTGTGCAGAGAACTTGTTGGTTTCGAAAGAAATAATTAAAGTTGCTGATTTTGGTCTTGCTCGGGAGATCAATTCTCAGCCTCCATATACGGAATATGTATCAACACGTTGGTTAGTGTGCTTGCTCTTCTATTTGTTCATTCGTCTAAATGGTTAGTGTATTTTCCTGATATCAGTTATGTGCCACTGCAGGTATCGTGCTCCTGAAATTCTTCTCCAGTCACCCATCTATGGTCCTGCTGTCGGTATGTAAAAGATACACACTATCTTTTTCAGCTATTTCTTTCTGGATGTATATTGATTATCTTTCAATACTCTGCAGATATGTGGGCAATGGGTGCTATAATGGCTGAGTTGTTTAGTCTTCGTCCTCTGTTTCCAGGTTCAAGGTATGCATATGTGGTTATAATATTGATTTCTCTCCGACCTGCATTGATATGTATATAGAAGAGGAGAGGGAGTGATGGTGGATTGAAATGTCATTTGCAATCCCTTTACGTTCTGATGACAGTCGGCTGTATGCTTCTCTTGTTTGGGTGCAGTGAAGCAGATGAGATCTACAAAATATGCAGTGTTATAGGGACCCCAACAAAGAGGAACTGGGCTCAGGGACTTGAACTTGCTAGTGCTATCAACTACCAATTTCCGCAGGTAACATAACTCTTCCTTGATATGAAGCTATCAGTTGTTTTGGAATTCTTTATTTGAATTGCTATTCTTCAAGGATTTTCAGATTACCTCCCCCCCGACTTTTTTTTTTTTTGCTTTTGAATTCAGTTCTTAGCCTTTCAACTATTGAAAAGAAGGTCCAATTAGTTACCCTAACGGGAAAAAATGATATTAACTAGCAAAGTGATTTCTTTTGAATGTGGGTTGACACCTTCCCTGGTATTTTTGGCAGGTTGCTGGTGTAGATATCTCTTTGCTAGTTCCGTCTGCCAGTGAAAATGCTATTAGTCTAATCACAGTAAGAAGTGGCTAAATACATTCGTATCACTTTCTTAATTGTTCGCAACATCGACATATATGCACCTTTCTGAATACCCTTCTAAAAGGGAATGGAATATCTGATAGCCCGTCATTTCGTCCTTTTCTGTTACTTGCTGCAGTCTCTTTGTTCATGGGATCCTCGTAAGAGGCCAACGGCAATCGATGCTCTTCAGCATCCTTTTTTCCAGGTGGACAACTTCTTCCCCTTTTAACTTTATGTACATAAGTCAGTGTCTGTCTCTCTATTAGATTAGATGATATCATTTGTGATGTGGCAGAGTTGCTTTTACGTACCTCCATCACTACGCACCAAGGCTGCTGTTGCTAAGACCCCTCCTTCTGGTTTGTACTGTCTTCTATATTACTAGTAAGGAAACCTGGGTTTTATGTTGTTACAATGATCTTAAAAGGACTTCTTAATCGTAGCTGTTGTGCGGGGTGCAGTGGAGCAGAAGTACAAGTGGTCATCTGGGTTGTCGCACAATCCCAAACCTAGCAGCAACTTCTCAACTGTCAAGTCACAGCTGCCGTTTAACGCAGGTGACTATAAGAATTTAAAGGATTTTAGCTTCTTTATTCTGATTCTTATTCAATTGTTTCCCACTGAAACTGTGTAACAGGTGTTCAAAGGAAGCTGGATATGAATTATCAGGTATGTTTTCCTTGGAAACAACCTTTTCTTATTTTTCCCATCTGATAGACAAGACAAATGTTGCGGCTAGGCGTCCATTCTAACCTGAATCTGATTTCTGCCAACAATTGTTCAGGATCCGACGAGGAATGATAAATTCCTGCAAGGCTCTGTCAACCAACAACCAAAATATCGACCTCCTGGAAGGAACATCCCGAGCGATCCAAGTGAGTCATTCAAACTTACCCCCTATTGGAACAGTTGTATTGTTGTGCCCCTAAAGCTAGTTATTCTTTTGATCTTGGCAGTGGTTGGTTCCAGAGTGCAGAATTTTGCCGTTTCTGATGCAGCTGACAAGCTGGGGAACATGAATATTGGCTCTGGCAGAGTACCTACAATGCAGCCAGTAGTTAAGCCAATGAAGGCAGGAGGATGGCATGGACAGCACGACTTGTTCCATGGACGGTCTAAAGAGTTTCTTCCGGGAAGAAGCTTTTCGAGGAAAGTTGCTGGATGAATAAATGTCAAAGCTGAGAGTGCCCCTACTTTGTTCTAGTGTTCTATTCGCGCATGTGCATGGCTAAATTTGATGGTGAAGCCAGCAGTCTTTTGTGCTTTCAATATTTTCGTTTAGTTTCTGGTGATACTGTTGCATCAACAATGTTTTGAATAAATGGTTTTTCTCAACTCTCACTGATAGCATCATTTAGAGTTTTGAATATGATATGTATGTATTGCATCTTTTGTACATAAGTTAAGTTGCCCTGAACAAAAATAAGTTTCTCAAACGTTTGACATTATGTAACGATACGATACAATACAATGTGATATATTATGGAATAACAAGTAACAACTATGAAAACAAGATAGAAAGATCAAATTCAGAACAAAGAATGATTATATGAATGAAGCAACACTAGAGTTTTGTGAGCGAAAGCTCAATATAACTAACTAAGAAAATATGGATTAAAATAAAGATGTTAAAGTTCTACTTGATCCCTCATTACAACTCGAAAGCAAAATCTTGAGTTGGTTTTCTCCCAACGTAGGTCATTTTCTTTGAGATTCCTCCTTTTGACTAAATTCTTTGTCCATCCTTTGACAAGGTGAAAGCTATTAGTAGACCATTTCTTGAGGGTCAAAACATGACTTGTTTGTGAATCCATATCAAATACAGTAACATCAACTCCACAAATTATACTCTGTTCTTCCTCGTCCATAAAAGGTAATGCGTCTTGTCGAGATAGTAATAACCTCGAAGCTCCATTCACATCGCTTCTAGTTAGATTTTTTTTTATCCAATGACCATTTGATTCTTCTGTCGGCTTGGTTTTCTTGCGGGGAATGAATTTCTGTTCCCCCAATGATCTAGAAGAACGTTGGAAGATTGGGCTGTCGAAGAGGTGTTGGGTAGGGATGGCAGAGGAGTATTGTTTGCAGTTGGTTTTGTGTTTTCATAAACACGTGTAAAGAGAGTCAAAAAAGGGTGAATTAGGATCGTCCTTGCCGCCATCTATGGAGGAGAAATTAACGGTAGTAGTAATTGGTTTCGAAACACCAAGATTTTCAGAAATTTGGGGAAACAGAGACAAAGTAGTATCGGAAGACGAGTAGTGATGAGGAAGAGAATAGCTAATTGGTTCGGTATCAATAACACTGTCTTCCGAAAATGGCAATGACGTTAGAAAATCGTCGAAAAATTGATCACTATTTTCCATAGCGTAACTGAGAGAAATAAAGGAATGAGGATAGTAGTAATATTTTGGAATGGAAGAAGAAAGGGTAGGGTAATGAATGATCCTTTTATAGATTTGTATAGTTTATCCATTTCATAATCGGATTCTGATTTCTGTGTTAAAAAAGGAAATATTTCACAATTTTAGTTCTATTATTTGGATTTATTCAATATTTAATTTTAGTATAAGCAACGTATGTTTACTTCTGCTGTTGCCAGTGAATACACTATCTTTTCGCATTGTTGATGTTCGACTTTACGTAGCCACAAGAAACAATACATTATGAAATAATAAGCAAGACCAATCCAGAAAAAAGAAGGAATATATAAATGAAGCAACACTACAAAACTTTGTTTCCATACTCACAAAATTGATCATTGAGCTAAAACCAAACATAAGTAACTAAAAGGTAAAAAAAATTGAACATCTTAAAGATCTAGTTGACAACTCGAAAGCAAAATCTTGAATTGGTTTTCTCCCAACGTATCGAGACCTCGTCATTCCTCCTTTTGACAAAATCCTTTGTCCATGCTTTGACAAGGTGAAAGCTATTAGTTGACCATTTTTCTAGAGTCAGAATATGGCTTGTCTGTGTATCCATATCAAATACGGTGACATCAACTCCACACAATTGTTGGCAAATTACGCTCCGTTCTTGCTCGTTCATAAAGGGTAATATGTAATTATTCACGTCTTGTCGAGGTAGTAATAGCCTTGAAGCTCCATTCACATCGCTTCTAGTTAGCTTTTTTGTCATCCAATGACCTTCCTCTCCTTTTGTCAGCTTGGTTTTCTTGCGGGGGATGAATTTCTGTTCCCCCAATGATCTTTTAGGAGCAGAGTTACCCAATGCGTTGACCTCCCGACTTGATGAAGCAAAACTAGAAGAAGGTTGACTATCAATGGAAGATTGGGCAGTCGAAGAGGTGTTGGATAGGGATGGTAGAGAAAGACAGAGATCAGTTGATGACGGAGGAGTACTGTTTACAATTGGTTTAGAAACTCCTGTAAAGAGAGTCAAAAAAGGTGAATTAGGATTGTCCTTGCCGCCATCTATGGAAGAGAAATCATAAGTAGTACTACTTGACGCTGCCGATGATGGAAGAGTAGTACTACTAGAAGAAGACGATGGATGATAGCGAATTGGTTCAGCATCAATGACATTGTCTTCTGACAATGGCGGAAACAGAGACAACATTAGAAAATCGTCGATCATTATTTTCCATTGCGACTGGAGAAATAAAAGAATACGAATAGTAAAAATTTAGGAACGAAGAAGAAAGGCTGTGTAATGAGTCCCTTTTATAGATTTGTGTAACTCTCCCATTTATGATCAAAATGGGAACTTAGTTTAATCTTTTTTGTTTTCCGTAGTAGAAAAGGTAAGGAAACAGCATTTCTAAATTCTGTTTTTGGTAATAATTATTTAACTTAAAAGTTTCTTCACTTCTAAATAGTACCAAAGGTAGAAATTCTAGAATATATTAATTCACTCACTTAATAATTAGTAGATGTAAATAAAATAATAAATTAATAATTATTTTGTTAATAGGTGTGTCAATTCAAAAATGGATAATAATTAAGTGAGTTCATGTTATTGGCTATCTATGGACTTGGTGCATAGTCTTTAAAAAAACAATTAAAATTTTTTAATGCGTATTATTTGTTCAAGAATCCCCCCTAATTAGGTAAGTAGCGTAAAATTATTTTTACGCAAATACTAAAGTAAAATAATAATTAAAAAAAAAAATTGAGCAATAAATAATACGTATTATTTGTTCAAGAATAGCCCCTCCCATTAATTAGGTAAGTAGTAATTTTGGTTACGTCCTCCATTTAAAGCGCAAGACAAGTGATTTTAACGGTAAAAACTTAGCAAAATTTAATATTGAAAATTGTGAGCTATTTAAAATAATAATTTTACATAATTTCAATAATAAATATTATTTAAAGTTTAATTGTTAATAACATAGTTCGTATAATTTTATAAATAAGTAAAAAACACAACGAAATACATAAAGTTTTATCATCAACATTAACTTTACAAAGAAATTTGTTCAATTGTTTCCCTTAAAACTGTTCTGGTTCTCAACTAAAAGTTAAATTAAGTAATACTTAATGAGTTTTAATTTATTGAAATGTTTTCGATCGAGCACAATAACAATAACATATCTGGTGAAATTAGGATTGTGTATCAGTTGATTCGGCTTGTTTGAAAATTTATTGATTTGATTTATCGATATGTAGCATGTAACATTATCATAGAGTCATTAGTATATTAACTTATTTGATTATTGATTTATTAGTCATTGATCGTTATCGATTTTACTATTAGTTTAACCATTAATATTTGACGTAGAAAAATTATTAAAAAACACTTTGAAACAAGGTTACATACAAATTAAATAACCAATACAAATAATAACTCGATAATAACAAAATTAATACACATTATTTTCAATTTGACTTATTGATTTCGATTCAATTTTGATCACTCCTTAAGCGTAACCATCCATAGTGAGGGCTTGAAAAGATGGAGTGTAGGCTATCTTTACCATTACCTCTTTAAGGTAGAAAGACTCTTTTCGAAAGATAATCAACAAATATATTAAATTGAACACGTAACTTAATAACGAGAAAAACTTTTGAAACTCGAGATATAAAATTTACGGGTAATGAATTAATAATTTAATGGAGGTGGATAAATGCAGGCAAGCACGTGCAGGCCAATGTGTATATTCCCATTACCATTATACACCAAACATAATTATATTATATAGTTTTTATAAAATTGAGTGTAAAATAATAAAATAATGATTCATCATCATTATTACAACACTCACTACTACTCAACTTCATCTTTTTGGTCTTTATCTTCCATTTCCCTTCTCTCTCTATATATGTAGCAGTTACACTCTGTGTTTTCCTCAATCTGGGTCGGTCGACATTTTTATGTAGGGTAATCCCTTAACCCCTTTTCTTCATTCTTTTGATTTTCAATTTCTTGTTTTTAGTACCTAGATTTGCTCTGTTTTAGTTTTTTTTGTGCGTTTGTGGTTCATTTAATTGGATTTTGAGCAAATGGTGTTTGTAAATGGTGTTTTTTTCATATGGGTGTTAGATTGTTAGATAGATATCTTCTTATGGATGACAAATAGTGAATGAAATTGGAAAATTTGGATCTTTTTCGTCTAATTAGTTGCAAATTTTAGCTAATTCCCCTTTTATGTTCTTGACCTGTGAGCTGAATTACAACATAAGTGTCACTTTAACCAAAATGGGTTGTGGTGTGGTGGGACTGTTTCATCCTTGACCATATGTTTCGGGTTCAAGTGGGTTGGGAGAAAATCCTGTCCGGAGCGTCACCCTTGAATCGGCTCGTGATTCGGTTTTTTGGAGCTAATAATCCCTAAATAAGTGGTGAATTAGGGATTCAGGAAATTGTTTCCAATTATACCATATGTTAAAGAATTAATCTTCTTTATAACCGTGCTCAATTCTCCAGAGACATCGAATACATAGGGTTAACTTAGTAAATTATACCGTACATTTATTGTTTTTCTTAATAGGCTGGAAATGAGCTAAAGCTACACTTAATTTGGGACGGAGGGAGTATGATTTATCTTCTTTTACTTGCCTGATCTGCTTTAAAAAGCTAAAGATTTTCTTTAATTGCATTACACTCTAAGTTTTTTTTGTGTGTCAAGTTTATTAGCATTTAATTTTGGATTTGTGATGAACTTTCATTTGATTCTTATATTGGTTGTCGTAAATGGAATGGCATCGTTCAAGGTTTTTATGGTTCCTATTGAATAGTAAAAATTTGGCGTGATGATACCTTCTATTAATTGTTCGAAAGTGCCTCTTCAAGGAGTTTAATGAGCTATAAGTTTTATGTTGTTTAGTTTTGTGTCAGCATTGTAGTTTAGAAGTGGCATAAAGTTGGGCAGAAGAGCTAGGAAGAGTAAGCATGTCAAGTGATAGTTGCAGCCACTGGTGTTATAGTTGTAGACAACCCGTGAATCTCAGGAGACAAAATGATGTTTGCCCCAATTGCGGTGGTGGATTTGTTCAAGAGCTTGAAGACATAACGAGTAGTAGTGTAGATAATCAGACCCAGAGGCCGAGATTCATGGAATCCGTCTCAAACTTTTTAAGACGACAAATCTCAGCTACAAGTAATACTTCTGAGAGAGGGAGATCTGATGGGGGTGCTGAACGAGGAAATTTGTGGAATCCGTTGCTGATTTTCAGTGGTGATACGCCTGTTCATATGCCTGGGGATGGTGGAGTTTTGGAGTTTCTTAATGAGGCACTTGGATTCCGACAAGAAAATGGTGGTGATTATTTTGTTGGTCCAGGAGTGGAGGAATTTTTTGAAGAAATTGTAAATAGAAATCAGCGTGGTGCTCCTCCTCCTGTCTCGAGATGTTCAATTGATTCCCTACCAACAGTCAAGATATCAAAAAAGGATGTTAGATCGGATTCGCACTGCCCTGTTTGTAAGGAGAAATTTGCTCTGGGGACTAAGGCAACAAAATTGCCTTGCAAGCACTTATATCACTCGGATTGTATCACGCCATGGCTACAACAGAAGAATTCATGTCCTGTTTGTAGAAAGGAGCTGATACCTGAAAAATCTGGCAATGACCATTCTTCTCGAAGCTCAAGGAGTGAAAGCAGAAGCAGCAGTAGGCGAGTTAGTGCTAGGGAGAACATTTCTCAGAACCAAGAAAGGCGGAGACCATGGTCTTCCCTCTGGAAGTTTGGCTCATCTCGTTCTAGTTCCCGAAGTACTCCAGCTGCTGAAACCAGCTCAGAGACCAGCCATCAACACAATAATTACTCTGAGTACTCCAACTGGCCCTTTGAATAGCAAGGTTTCTCTAAATGTAACCTGTTTTCTTTTTTCTAATTCTTCATGATCATAATGTTCTACCTCTGGTTGAACTTCTCATGGTAGAGAACACCCCCCCCCCCCCCCCCCCATGTGTTTACTTGCTTTTGTTATGTACATTTGAAGCTTTTCATGTGTTACTGATGACTGAATTATATTTGGTTTCCTAAGTGTGATTTAACATTTGTACCTTTCTGATAAGTAGCTAGTACATATCTGGCCTTCATTATCTTTACTTTTCATTTACATTGTTACTATACTGTTTTCATATGTAGTAGTCTCGACTCTCTCGAGGAAAAAGCCTTTGCCTGGGGAATAGAAAAGATTATGTTATTATGACAGGCCAAGCTTGCTTGCTGAAGTTGCAGCTGCATCATGTCTTTTCATCAATAAAACATGGAATTTCAACTCTAAGATGGGTCTTTGCCCCTATTGCATAAACGTTTGATAAGTATACCAAGTGCCCCTTCACTAATGAAGTAGATCTACTACTGCTTGGCTCTTACCAAACATAAAGAATTCTCTCTAATATGCTAAGCTTAAACCTCAATGATCCTTTCATTAGCAATTTAAACTTAATAAATCCCTTAACTAAAAGGTTGGGATACTTGAAAAGGCGGGGCTTTCTACTTAATACTGGGCAAGGATAAGCCTTGAGACATGGGCCTTGAACTTCCATTCTGTCCTTTAGTCTTTCTCCGGTTTGGAATTCATTGCATAAAAGATAGACAATGGACAACCACATTATTATCAATTGAGAGTCGATAAATGCCAGTGAGCTATAGATATTGACAATAGTAATGCTGAAAAGCAGTATGTTTTGCATCATCTAGCATTTGGTTCAACTAAATTTTTAGAAAGATTATGTTACAAGGAAAACAACTTGAAACCTTTAAAGGAATTCATGAGAGAATTTGCAAGATCATGTATAACTAGAGATCAAGAAATGCCATGAAAATTGCTAAATGGCCAAAAGTGATTTTGTTCGGTAGAATGGAGCCATTCTATCTGAACTAATATAAATACTTTTAATATAAGTATCTTGTAATGATCTCTGTTTCAGCTTCATCACATCCAAGAGGCAAAAATTTTCCCTTTTCCATGGAATAATTCTTTTGTTCTGTGGATAGAAATTTGTTGATTTAAAGGTATTGAGATTGTATTCTCTCTCTGTTCTGTTCCCACCACAGCTTTGCGTGCACCTCCCCGAACTTCTCCCGACTGTATGAATGTAGAGAAAGTTGTAAGAAAATGTCCAAAATGAATACAAATTTCAGCAAAATAGGTGCTCAGCCTTTTCAATCATGTCTTGAGTTCATTTACACAGTTGAGATTTTGAAATACCTGAATCTTACACGTCGTAGCTCTCTAGTGCCATCAACTAGTTGTCTGATGGTTATATACACACCAGGCTCATCTTGTTCTATCCATTCTGACTCCATTTCACTGGCATTACTTACAGAAAGTGAAGCTTCATCCCTAGAGTCTGTAGTTGTCCTTGACGCATCCATATATGACATATCCCCCTTTGGTAAACCAGTTGATCCAGATGGTTTATGGTAATTGCTTGGTGGCCAGTCCTTATTTGT